GCGAGGATAGCATGAAAGATATATCAGAAGTTGATGATCCCTGCAAGACAAACATTAATAGGCCTTTTTTTACAACGGATCCCAGCAAGGCTTAGCAACGATGTATGCTGGGACAATAGGATAGACGGAAATGAGGAAGGCGGAGGCCCACTAAGCTTATATACCAGACATATCAAGTACCTGTTAAAAAAGAGATGTAGAGCTTAGGAATCACGACAATGTGCAGAGGCTGGGAAGAGAAAAGTTAGCCTAGCCGTTTCTAGGAAGACCACAGATCTCACACTCAGAAGATCCAGTCTGATTCAGATAGGTACAATGAACACATGCCCAGGACTCGCTGCCATCGCTGCCCCTCCCGCCAGATGAGTTGGGTTCTGCCTGAATGACTCGATCCGATATCGGAGGACGAGGTTCTGTCATGTCGACGGCGGGCCTTAGTTCAGTCTCACCAGTGCCACTAGTTCCATTTCCACCTGGTCTAAGCCCAGCTGAAGAGCTGGAAGAGGCTACATCACGGCGGGAGAGTGAGGAACGTTGAGGCCCAGAAGGACTTGCGTCTATGACGTGGATGAGTGCGCACGAATGTAGCATAATTAAAAAAACAAGGAAAAGAAATGGCAGCTGGATAAGTAAATTTGATACTGGTTTACGTGGCGCCGTAAAATGTGTGTAATGGAATCCAATAAACTAGTCAAGCAATCTATTAATAAATACGTCAAATAGCGAGCGACTTGCAAACTAAAAATAAAAATAAGAGATTTAATATATCACCAAATAAAATGTGCGATAGAATGGATAGGCTTGATTCAAGCCTTAGATAACTTCTCGTTCACCAAGCACGGTGAATATGACCAAGAGACCTTGGTCTTAGTTTTTGCAAGGGAATAAGCAAGCTCTTAGACTCATCAGACACTGATTGACACATAAAAGGCTATCCACTTCAGCCTAACGCGCTTTCGCAAATCAGTCGTACCTTTACAGGGAGCAAGATGAGCACATGTTGCCTATATTCCTCTGTCATAGTAATCATGATGATTTCCAGCGTCGGACCGTGGACCAAGCCAAGGCCAAATAACGGAAGGAAAAGGCAATTACATAGTGAAAAAGCATTATAAAGTGTAAGTCGTTTGTCCAGATCAAATAAACAGCTTAGATGCCAAGACAAACTCACCTGAGCTCACCGCCTTCGCCATTTGCACTACAGTGGCCCAGTCTGAAGAGTCAATCGTCCATTGTTGCACTCGAGACCAGGTAGCCTCGGAATGATTAGAATGTGTCTGAATATCTTCTATGATAGCAGCAAGCAGG